TTCACAATTTCCACCAGAGCTCCTCATAATAAATACAGGTGTATGAAACACTAATGTCAAACATATTTAGCATATGCTAAATATATTTAATATCTGATAACAATTATAAATAGTTATCAGCTCCCAGGCTTAAGTAATCAGGACAGATCTGATGAAAATGGATGAAAGAAATCACTGCACAGTTTAGATCTTTGTTATCAGCTGTGAAAGGAAGGTGTAAACTGTTGACTGTGATGAGCTCTGGAAAGGAGAGTGGACAGACAGTCCTTTCCTTAGGCACCCTTGGATGCATATGAATTTTTACTGACGTGTGTACTGTTTTCACAGTAATGGTAACAAGAGAGACAAATCACAGCCAAGATGAATGTTTCATGATCTCAAGCTCTGGTCTGGTTTCTTGTAGTTTGAGAATAGTGAGTCTCTTAAGTGAGGTTGTAAAGCTACAGTCTCATGAATAAACCACAGTGTAACACACACAACTAAAGTATAAAAGCTACAAAGGCTCAAGAAGGGAGCTTGCTTATTTGCTTGCTTTCACAATAGGAGGGAGCCCATGCTGGCCTAGAACTTCGATCCTCCTGTCTCCACTGGGACTGTACTGCACTACCACACCCAGTTACAAAGGAAGTTTACTCATTAAAAAAACTAATAATAATAAGCTGGGATACTAGTGGTTCATACCTGTAACCCTAGTTACTAAGAACACTGAGATCTTAGGATCAAAGTCTGAAGTTAGCCCAGGCAGAAAAGTCCATGAGGCTCGTATCACCAATTCACCAGCAAAAAGCCAAAAGCAGAGTTGTGACTTGAGTGATAGAGCACCAGTATTGGGCAAAAAAGCCAACAGAGAGAGCTAGAGGCCCTGAGTTCAACTACTGGTCCACACACACAGACCCAGACACACACACACACAGCCAAGATGGGTCATAGTTTTGACCTACTAGCTTCTTCTATAATAGTTGTTATTTCTGGAAGTTTTTTCCCTTTGGCCTACATAGACTGAAAGCCATATTGTGAGTACTGGAGAGAACCAAAGTCCAGGAAGAACAGAAAACAAAAGGCTCATTCGCTGAAAGGAGGCTGACTTTTAGAGCAGACTCCAAGGCCTTCACACCACAGCTGAGCTGTGGACCAGGGACAAAGGTCTCTACTCCCACTCAGGCTTGAGACTAGACCTAGTCAGACACTTTAGTGAGCAGCAATAGGTGATACCTTAAAGATGAATAGAGAGCTCATTAGGAACTTGGTTAGGTTCTCCACATTGACGTATGGCTATTATAGTAAAGAGTATAAATTATGGCACATCCCCAAATGAGAGCGTAGGTTGCCTCTAAATTAATTATTTTGATGTCCAGAAGACTTGCTGGTTCTGGAAGTACTAACAATGGAGCGTATAAACAGTCTTAGGAATGCCTCAGATGCCTACACAGCAGTGAGCACGGAGCTCTGCAAGGACTGCAACTAGCTTTCGGCCTCTGTTCTTTTTGTTTCTTTTCTTTTCTTTTTTCCTTGTACTGGGGCTTGAACTCAGGGCCTGAGTGTTTTCACTTAGCTTTTTCCTCTCAAGGCTAGCACTCTACCACTTAAAACATAGCTCGCTCTACTTCCGGCTTTTTGGTGATTAATTGGAAAGTCTCATGGGCTTTCTTGCCTGGGCTGGCTTAAAAAATGTGATCTTCAGATCTCAAACTCCAGAGTAAATAGGATTGCAGGTATGAGCCACTGGCACCAGGCCAGGCCTCTGCTCTTACAGACAAAATGATAGTGCATACTGTGCACAGCTTAATCACTGCCTGGAGACAGAGACCTTGCAACTAAAGATTAGGAAACAGGTAACCTTTTTCAAACGTTTATCAACTTGCTTTTTTTCCTAATTTGTTCCTGAGGTGGGTGGTTACATGTCATTATTTTCTAAACCTTGCTGGACATAATAAATGTTGCCATCTACCAGCTATAAGAATGTGCAATATGACACAAATCAAAGATCAAGGACTGAGAAATTTTGCTACTTGTTCATTATCCTTGAGAAAGCAGTGTGGCCACATTTCCCATGCTGTTTATGGCTCTGTGAGGTTCTCAGGGCTTCTGAAAAGGCCTGTGGTTTTGCACAGCAACTCTCTGAGGCATGTGCACTGGATCTGGCTTCCAGGCTTGCAGACTAATACCCGTGCCACTCACAGACTCAAAGCTTCTAATGGAGAATGTTCACTCTCAGTGAAGCAGCTGTTGCATACAGTAGAACTCATTAATCTTCTGTCCTCAGCCGCAATGCATTGTGCACAGAGATCGACTGTCAGTGCTGTGGATGGGTGGATCCAGGGAAAGGCAGGCCTGATCAGAATCAGGCCTCTACTGTGTCAGCTCATTCTACCACAGACTGTGTGAAGCAGAAACCCACATGTTTGTCCCCATTTTTAAGGGTAATCACTAACAATCAGCATCAGAAGGAGCAGAAGGCAAAGGGAGATAACATTAAGCTATCCTGAGAGTGAGGTTACAGTAGAGTGACTTTACATTAGTTTCCATCCTCAGAGTAACATTTTCCATGACTGCTGTCTGGAAAATTAGATTTGTTACATTTTTTTTCCCTTTTCCAAAGCACTGGGGGGCATATATGGGAAACACCCACCATGTAGTCTTCCATGCAGCAGGTTGATGTCTGAGTAAAAACCATCACAGCTAAACAGATATTTTAGAAGATTGAATGGGAACATCTCTTAAAAATAATAGGGCTGGGAATGTGGCTTAGTAGTAGAGTGATAGCCTTGAGCAAAAGCTGCTCAGGCACAGTGCTTAGACCTTAAATTAAAGCCCGAGGACTGGCAAAAATAACAATACCAATAATGATAAATTACCAAATTTCGGCTAGGTGCTGCTGACTCACACCTATAATCCTGACTATTCTGAAGGCCAAGAGTTGAGGATCTCAGTTCAAAGCCAGTTAGAGAAAGAAAGTCTGTGAGATTTATTTCCAATTAACAAAAAACAACAACAAACAAACCAGAAGTAAAGCATGGCTCAAGTGGTAGAGCACCAGCTTTGAGCAAAAAAGCTGAAGGACAGCACTTAGGCCCCGAATTCTAGCTGCAGTACTGGCACACATACAAAAAAGGAACTGCCAGCTTTGAAAACACTATTAGTAATGTTTTAGTTTCTAACTAGATCACACTGCTGGAAATCTTATTCCATGACCTAAAATCTCCCCATGGCCACACTTCCTAATGGTTGTGAGTAAAGTCTTCTTTGACAGTATAAGCTCCTTCCTAAGTGACATCATTCAGGGTAAGGAAAGGGGTGGTATAGGCAAAGAGTTGCTGTTTCATGTAAATATTTGATCTATATATGGAAGGAAGGCCGTTGAGAGAAATTTCAATTATCCTCTTAGCTTGCACTGTGAATACTGCTACTCTTCCTCATCTGGATCAGGGCCAAAGTCCTGATGACAATCTTCTATCACATGACCCACGCACAGAGCTCTGGGCAGAGGGGCTGGGTGGGAGAGGACTAGCAGTTGTGGAGTCTGGCACACAGTGCTTTTGCATGCCTGTGACTCCAAGGCCAGGGTCTCACCCAGTGTCCAGCTGGCTTACATCTTCACCCCAGCTCACAGGCAACCCAGAGGTAGGGGATGTCAGGCTTCATTGCAGGAGTTCCCTCTGAGAAGCAAAGCAGGCTCAGAAGGGACTCAGAAATATGGCTGCAAGAAAGCTCTATTACAAGGTATCTCTTGGGATCTCAATTCTACAAATCTACTTTAGCAGACGCTTTATATTAAAATGCAAAAAAAAAAAAAACCAAAGAGCTTGGAGTTGTTGGCTTATATCTGTAATCCTAGCTACTCAGGAGGCTGAGATCTGAGGATTATGGTTTATAGCCAGCTTAGGCAGATAAATCTGGGACACTCATCTCCAATTAACAAGCTCGAAGTAGAGCTGTGGTTCAAGTGTTACAGAGAAAAAGCTAATGACAGTACCCACACCTTTAGTTCAAGCCCTATGACTGACAGGCACACACAGGCAGCACACACATACACACATACACACACATTATCATATTTTGGTTTATTAATAACCAGAGTCTATTTCTAGGTTGCTTGGGGACAATAATAATTACTTAGTAACATTGAAATTCTACTTTTCTACATAGGCTTTAATGTTTCCAAGGTGTCATCAAATATTTTTATTTGGGATATTATGATTCAAATAGCCAAAAAGACCTGAAATACTTTATATTGGGGATTTAAATAAAAACTACTTGATATTTCTTTCTTAAAATGATGTTATCAAATCATTGATGTTGGCAATGGCTGTTGAGCTAAACATCAACACAAATGCTCTGCAAGTCCTTTTTCTTGCTGTCATAAGAACATTGCATTAAGATTTTCTCTTCTTGGAAGAACAGTCAACCATTAACATTCATAAATGGTTCTCAATATTTATTTTTTCCTCCTGACATATATATGCTGGATCAAGGGAGGGAGTGGACAACTCAATGGATCTGCTCTTACTAAGGTCCTTAGTTGTGTGTACAAAGCCAAACCACATCATGGACTGATATAGTAAGACTAAAAGGCCAAATAAGTTCAGTGCTCGTGGCTCATAACTGTAACCCTAGCTACTCAGGAGGCTGAGATCTGAAGATCATGGCTCAAAGCCAATACAGGTAGAAAAGTCCATTAGATTCTAATCTCTAATTAATCATGCAAAAGCCAGAAGTACAGTTTTGGTAGTAGCATGTCAGCCTTGAATGAAAAACCTAAGCGACAGTGCCCACGCTGAGTTCAAGACCCAGCACCATCACTTTTTTTAAAAAAGAAAAGGTTGAATGACATGATTTCTTGCGAAAATTCAGCCTCACAAAAAGTCACAGATAGTCAGAGTCACGCAAAGGATTTTCTGTGATTGGGAACACCAACGTATGGAGTAAGACTATACAAACATGGCCTAGGAGCCTCCTCTCCCCATATGCACAAAATGATGGGCTTAAATCTAAGCACCCACCTGCTTGTTGAGTGGTCCTCCATCCAAAGTCTGCAGCCGGGGTACATGGTCACCAGTCTGTACAGGAGTATGTGGGGAATGCTCTCCTACTGGAAAGCCACAGTCTTGGTCACCATCATCTCGGGCTGATCTTTCCACCTGGTGACCCCCCTGGACTCCTAGTTCACCAAGCCCAGGGAAGGTCTCTGGATGTTCACTCTGAAAGCAGCAACATATGATAAACACAGCTTTGCATAGGCCTTTTCTCACTGTAGGCCATATTTTGCACCAACTGGCATCAGGGCCTGGGCCCAGGCAATCTACCCACTTAAGCTTCCTTAGCACTTGGAGCTGTCTACAAGTAGCCTAATTTTTATTGTTTGAGGGTAACCATATGGATTATCAAATCTTTTTTTCAGTCTTCTCCCTAAAAATGCTCATTGTTGTCATTTCATTCATTGGTATGTCGTCCTTTTAGATAGCATAGGATGGGCACTTGATTTATTAGAAAAACAAGTAAGAAACTTTACTTCACGTGAATGGGTATTGCTTACAGTTATAGGGTTTCCTTTTCGATTCTGTCACTTACTACCTTTTTTGTGTGACATGAGAACACTCATAATCTACCTTCAAAGCAAATTTCAAGACCCAATAATACATTGCCAATTATAATGGCATTATAAATTTAATCTCTAGACTTATGTATACTACTTAACTGCAACTTTATACACCTTGACCAACAGTTACTCACTTTTCCAACTGTCAAAGCCCTGGTAACCACCATTCTACTCTGGTTCTACAAGTTTGAAGTTTTTGGATTCATATAAAAATGCAATTATGCTATACCTATGTTTCTGCATCTGTCTTATTTCATTTAGTATATTGCTCTCCAGATTTAATTATATTGTTGCACATGACAGAAATTTTTTCTTATTTGCAAAGCTGAACAATATTCATATATATATATAGATAGATCACATTATATTTATCCACTCATCCATCCATGAGTAATTAGAGTGATTCTATATTCTATTGTAAAAAAATTAGCTATAGTTTTAGAAATAGGAGAGATCAACAGAAAGCCCTACAATCAATTATTTATAAGATTTGCTTAACGATAATTTTCTATGGATCCTTGAAGGCCATTTGAATCAATTTTTAAAGACTTCGTTCACCTTGAAGAAAGAGAATCATTATTCATAGTATTACTAAAACTTACTTATGCTGTTCACTAGAGTGGAAAACAGACAAAAGGCCTTTGAGAGTTCAATGCTTTGAAGTAGCTGAACAAGTAGCCCAGGTATTGTTGCACTCAACATACAGCCTAGTAGCTCCAGCCTATGCTCACCAGAAAGCAAAGCCTATGGAGATAGAGGTCACTCTACCTTCACTTCAGCAATAAACCAATCACAAAGCAAAAAGCTCTGTCCTGTGGCTATTTATGGATCTAGGAATTGAGATATGATGGGGAAAACATACATGAGTTCCAGAAGTGATGTGGTGGTATACATATAATCCCAGTAACTCAGGAGGCAGAGTCAAGAGACTTTAGAATTTGGGCAAAAGTAAAACATACACATACACGCATGCACACAAAGACACACACAAATTATCAAAAACAAAAGAAAAAAAATGAAGGACTGGGGGATGTAGCTCAAGTAGTAGGATGCTTACCCAGCAAGCATGAAGCCCAGGGCTCCATCCCCAATAGGACAAAATAAAACAAAACGTTATAAAGCTGGGTACCAGTGGCTTATGCCTATAATCCTAGCTACTTCCAAAGGCTGAGATCTAAGGATTTAGGTTCAAAGCCATCCTGGGCAGAAAAAGTCTGAGAGACTCTTACCTCCAATTAATCACCAAAAACCTGGAAATAGAGGTATGGCCTAAGTGGTAGAGTGCTAGCTTTGAGACTAATAAAAGTTCAGGCATAGTGCCCAGGCCCTATTGTCTTGGGCTCTAATATCTGGGAACATGAACTAAAATGGGAAAGAGGGCAAACATTTAAGCCCAGCTTTTTTTTTTTGCATTTAATCACTACATTTATTCAAATTAATTAATTATACATTTTGCTTTGACAATGGTCATTATCTTAAAAGAGTCATCTGGTTTTCCCACATTAAAAAGTATATTGTTAATTGCAGTCAACTAACTATGAGAGCCCAGAGACTGCAGCAACACAGACACTGGTCAGCGTAGGGATAGGGACTCCATGGTCCTTAGCATTTTCATCACATGGTTCTCACTGGGCTTAATTCTAGCTATTATAAACAGCAAGGTTGGGTGAGATGGTAAAGGAGATATCAGGCAGAGCACCTCAGTAGATTAATAAATCCAACAGCAAAGGAGATGACAGCAACACTTCATTCTAGAACAGAGCTAGGTCAAAGCACAGCACAGAATTCTTGATTACATGTATACTTGGACAAGCCATTGCATTTTTATAGCTTGGACTGAAATTTACAAAAATAATTGAAAGTAATAGAACATGGTTTTGTAGGAAGTGAAGGGCAACCGTATCTGAGGGTCAAGAACAAAGCACACAAAGAGAATGAACTCCAGAGTGGCATTACCTCAGTGAAATCCTCTCCTCCCTCCTCCATCTGCTTCCCCTGCCGCCAGTGTTTCAGTAGCCACCTGAGCTTGACATAGAAGAGGAAAATGTTCTGCTTTAAGGACCGAAGCTCCTGCTGCAGCAGATTCTTCTCATCACTCCAAGTTCGCTCATGGAGGGTGTTCTGTAAAGCCAGGCTGTTCATCTCCAGTTCTTTCCACCTCAAGGCATACAGATGCTCCTCCTCCATCTTGAACAAGAGTAAAGAGGAAGTATAACATGTGTCTTCTTCAATTTGCCACTCAAACACAACTAGAGGGCTTTGCAAACTGTTGGTCAATCTAGACCACTTTCCAAGGAGGATGTGAAATACCGGAGGATGTGAAGGAGCATTCCTCCCCTCCCTCCCACCCTATACATGTAGGGTGATAAATGACTTGAAATGTTTACTATGTAAAAAATCCTTAAAGCATTTTGTGATCAGAAGCAAGTACTGTTTCAAGGGAGGAAACTGTAGACATTTATTGCTGTCAATATCTCACAGTGGTTTTAGATTATTTCTAAATCCTTTCAGGAGACTTGTTTCTTGGATGTGTAGCTTACAGTCATTAAATTCATTCCAATTTTCCTCTGTGCAAGTATGTGACACAAGGCATGTTGAATGCCAAAAAGCCAATCCTTTGCTTTTACTTTCTGAGCACCATGGCTCCTCACCTCTGACAGAGAATATCAAGCTGATGAAAAGTCCACCAAGAGCTGGGAAGCCAGAGTGGCAAAAAGACAAGGTGGTAATTATGTCCACATTTAAGATTTAATGTTCCTATCAGATATGCCTATCTCTGAGGGAAATAACAAAATTCCTGGTTCTTAATTTGGTGGCGTGTCTTTTTGTTTGGGCTCAGCTAAGTTTCTTTTTCACTCACAGTTGGCACTCTCTTCAGCAGAGCCTCTAGTCCAGAATTTTGCTGATTAATTGGAGTTTTATGCATTTTTCAGCCCAAACTCGCTTCAAACTTCAATGCTCAGAGCTCAGCTTCCTCAAATAGACAGGGTTACAGGTGTGAGTCACCAATCTCTGGCTTATATTCCTGTTTTCTTTCTAAACACCTACTGGCATGCTTCGAAGCCATCAAAAATTATTAGGCATCAATCCTGACTAGGCCAAAGGATGCAAATAAAATCCCATTTTGCAACTAAAGGTACAAGAATAATCTCTGTAGTAGCCATAACCACATGAGAGCAAAGGCTTCCATGCAACAAACCAAAACTGGGGTTAGAATGTCAGCCTTACCATTTATTAGATTCCCTCTCCTGATTTAATACTCCCTCTTATGCTAAAAGCCAATATACTGGTAATTCTCAGGAACCCTGGGGTAGGACTAATGGCTGTCTGTGAATGCTACCCAGATGGTTAAAGTATTAAATGAAGGCCAGTCAAGGGAAATGTGAGGGCTCTGGGCAGGACCAGAGTTCTACAGATGCCCATAGCCAATGGGCAGGACCAGAGTTCTACAGATGCCCATAGCCAATGTCCTAATACCTGCTGTACACGTACAGCTAAAAACTGGCAATTTTATCCACCACCTCAGCAGCTCTCAGAGGTCTGAGGCTGGTGTGGACACAAGAATGCACGAGTCCAGAGTGAAGGGTAACTTGGTACACTGGAAATTTCATGTCTGCAGCTCCTCCTCTGCTCTGCTCTCAACTGATTCACAGTGGGAAGGCTTCAGTTTCCTTGGAGACTACATGAAGGCTGCACAAGCCGCTCTGAAGACATGATGGAAAGGTGTTGAGACCCCAGATGCTACACCTTCAAGGGGCATCCCCATGCCCTTTGTATGCAGCACCTTCTCCCACCCAGGTTCTCCTTTCCTCTCTTTCTCCTCCTATCAGTGTCCCTTAGGAGGCCTCAACTGCCTCTTAAAATCACACAGCTAGGTCTTCCTTCCCCTAGGGACATAAGAGGATACTTCCATTTCACTTCTGAATATGCCCAGAGAACAAAATCTCCCACTCTGAAGTTTCATCTTCAGCATACTCCTCGATGGTGAACCCAGTGTTACATGTACAGGGGTCTTGCCACTGTCTTAGCAGCTTCACTGATAAGCTCACATTTCAAGATATTTTGGAGGCTATGCTAAATAAATGAACAATTTAAATTAGGAATTTGTCTCCTAAGTGACCAAGTCATTTTCCTTTCGTAATGTTATGTGAGACAGCGGAGAACACTCAGTCCTAGCCTTCAGCTCTGCCAATCCCCTGTAACCCACTCAGATGCCCCTGGCCTCAGTCACCACACAGCCATACGCATAGAACACAGACTCCTTGCCAAAGTAGATTCCAAGATACACTGGGTCCTTCATGGTACACAGTATAACATCAAGGGACACACCATTCAGGATCCACTTCTCTGTTTTGTTTTAAAGAAGCAGCTATCTTCCAAGAATACAAAAAGGAGAAGTAGCTATGGCAATTCTGAGCCTAGATATTCATCTCCAACTTAATTAGGTATGAGGGTATCAGAGATCACAATGTCCTGGGGAGGCTTGGAACTAGAAGTGCCTGCATCTGTGGAGTCCCTTCCACTGAGAACTCTGGGAAAGGATTTAGTGGATAACAGATAATTAGCCTGTATTAGGTTATTTGAAAATGGCTAAAGAGTTAACCAGGCCATAGTTCAGTTACTGGCAGCTTCTTTAAGACAATGGTTTAGGGTGAGTCTATGCTTCAGTAAAAAAAAAAAAAAAAAAACTGGCTTGATAATCAGTGTAACTGACCTAATTCCATTTGCATTTAACGCCCGGATTTGATATTAGTTGTGGTAAAATTAGACTAGGTATGAGAAGGCTTCCTAATACCATAAACACACTCCTTTATTCTCATCTTAAGTTTTGCTTTATGTGGTTTGTTACCCAAAATCAATCACAGTCCAGAATATTAAATCAAAAGTCCAAGAAGAACAATTTAGTTTAAAATTACATCTTGCTATAAATCCCAGGCTGGCTTTGCAATCCTCCCTTTCTCTACCTCTGAAAGTGTTGAGGTTACAGGTATATATGCCCTGCCATAAATTTTAATTAAGATTAACTATCATGTGTTGTTATAATGGCTATATTTTATGATCAGTCATTGTTAGTCTTTTATTGTGTTTAATTTGTAAGTTAAATTTGATCATAGGTCCACATACATACAGAACTGGCAAACATATAAGGGTTTTGATTCCATTTGTGATTTTGAGAATCCACAAAGCAGCTAGGTGCTGGTAGCACATGCCTGTAATGCTAGCTACTCAGAAGGCTGAGATCTGAGGATCGCCGTTCAAAGCCAGCCCGGGCAGGAGAGACCGTGAGACGATTATCTCCAATAAACCACCAGAAAAGCCAGAAGTGGTGCTGTGGCTCAAGTGGTAGAGACTTTGCATTGAGCTGAAGAGCTGACAGTGCCCAGAGTTCAAGACCCACGACCGACCAAATAAAAAAAAATCCACAAAGCAACCTGCAGTGTGTGAGACAAGTGTATTGAAATCCACAAAGCAACCTGCAGTGTATAAGACAAGTGTATTGAAAAATGTCCCACAGAGCAGAGAAATGAGCAGTTGTCTTTATGGAACTTTTTTTGGGGGGGAAGCACCACTGGGTGATATGTCCATATGCTTATGGGTCATTTAGCCTGTACATGATTGACAGCATTCTTTACAAATGCATACTGATGTCTTTTCTGAGGAAGGCTGCAGGCTAAGAAGCAATTGTGTTGAAATGCCTGTGAAATATTTACCTTGTGGATCTTGTTTGTAAATGCCTCTGTCTCCTCTTGATGCAGTCTGGTCGCCTGCACGAGCTGACCCTGTAGCTCTTCTATCGAAACACTCTGCTCAGGTAAAACAGGGGGGCCCCTGAGCTATCAGTGGGATAAAGGAAGGGGTTTAGTGGAAATGAGAACTCTGCTTGACGTGATGACACAGGACAGACATCCGTACAAGCTGAGACATACATGGGAGACACAGCACGTGGGGCTGCAGCAGTGGAGTGACTGTGGCCACCTACCCTGGGGCTTCTCACAGGAGAGCCTGACACTCGGAGCGACACGGCTACCTGTGGGGCTAGGTCATGGGCTAATCTACCTGCCCTTCACCTCTATCTCTCACCTAGAGGCAGAGTGTAAGTGGAGCCTTGGCATCTGAACTTCACCCCCAACCACCACAAACTAGCCCCAGAAAAGGAAGCCAGGCAGGGTTTACAGTTGGGGGTCCTTGCCAATATAGCAGCTTCTAGCTTTTGAAATATACTAGTTGTAGAACTGAGTCAAGAATGGCCACCTATCACTCAGCTGTGTAGATTCACTTCCTGAGTCATATGGGGATCTCTTAGGTTGCACAACAATTCTGTTCAGGTATGTGCTTATTAGGGATTTCCCTGTCTACCAAACATGACTTCCATTCACCTCGGCAATGTGACCCTGGGTGCTCAGGGTGGATGGGGTAGGGCTCTTCTTGAGGCCAAATACTACTGTTAAGCCTCTGAAGAGTACAAACTGCCCGAGAGGAACAACACAAAGACATCTGTATATTATATTCAGGCTAAAACCAGACACAGAATTTGTATTTTTGTTGGTGGTGATTTAATCCTGAAGTCCACACGGCCATGGGAGAGAAATCAGTCATTACTTTTTAAATTAAAATATGTTTTGTTTTTAAAAGATGGAAGCCGTGATACTAAAAATTTTAAGCATCATTAAAATTAAAGCAAGATATTTGCCCACTCACTTGAGCTACTCGAAGATAGGTGATTTATAAAGCTAGGAATTAGAGTGGACTGTTGCAATAAAACCATGTCGTTTCCCTGGCTCTTTCTCTCCCAGGGGATCACTGTTCCTCTCCAGTTGTCATGAGTGAAGATCATGCCCCCAAAACAGGAAATGTAGAAACAAATGTGGAAAGCCCTTCACTTAGCACTGCTGGGTAATGGAGAACACTTAGAGGAAGAATGAAGGAAAGGAAATCAGAGACCCCTGGGATTCATCAACGTTGCAATCAAATTTTAAAAGCTAGATTGAAACTCATCCAACTGTAAAGAAACCCAAGAACTTCTGAGAACATTAAATGCTTAAGTTTGTCAGTTGCTGGAAATTAATCTTTTATCTGAGTTTTCTTTGAAAAGAGGTATTTCTCTATTGGTTGAGTTTACCCCAGTGACTAGTTTTTCATTTCTAAAAGCCCTGTGTTATTACTTTCAAATGTGTGGATTTTTAATG